TATATATATATATATATATATATATATATATATATATATATATATTATTTTTTTTTTTTTTTAATTAATCTGCACTCCATTTCTTCCCTAAAAAAACCCATCAAATTTTCCCGGAGCTACTTTAGCGCCGTCTTGGCGTCTGCGCAAATAATTTTCTGCGCAGAAACTCTCGCCCCAGGAAGTGGCGCCGCCATTATGTGAAGCGGCAGTTGTCTGGCATTGAGGCCGCAACAGGACAAAGCCGTTGCCCTCCCTTGTATATGCTATAGGGCCGGTGGTGTTCTCAAACTTAAATTCGCGATTATTAAAATTTGCATCACTACGAATCATTATTCGTGATTTCTGACACATTGCCGCGTAAATTTGTGAGGATATTAAAAAAATAACTAAATTGGTGCCGTGATGTTGTGATCCGCTGAGCCTTAAAATCATAAAACTCACTCACACCAATACATTGCAAGTGGGAAAGTAAGTTGGGATCTTGCGAAGTTGGTTAGAATTAAAAAAAATACTACACTCTGGAAAAAGGATAAATACACCAGAATAAATGTGCTTATGTTTGAAGGTACACACTTTAATTTTAATTTTAATTTTTATCAGTTTATTAAATTTAAATTTAAACCCAGAACTGGTCCCTGTGTAAGTAAAATTTCCATCATAATCATTAAAATATATATCAAGTAAGTTTAACTAATTAAAAGAAAATAATATAAATTATACATTATACATATATAATCCAACTGTACTTGTTCCCTCAGATCACCAGCACATATATACATATCCATCCATCCATCCACACATACCCACCTATATACATAAAAAAATATATGTGTAACTGTGTGTGTATTTATTACAAAAAGAAAGGGGCTACGCGACGGAGTTAGCGGGTGAGCGAGAGAGCGATTGAGAAAACAAAGCTGTACGTGAAATGAGAACATGGTGTTCGCGCTAGTTTCTTTAACCCCCGTGAAATAAAAAAACAAGCAGATATAAGTTGAGGTAAAAGCTTCTACATGTATTCGCATGATCAAGAATAATTATCAGCGAGTATAATGCTAAAATCTAAATAATTAAAAGTTTACTAACACCAGCGGAGTAAACTCTGATTTCTTCGTGAGCGAAATAACATATAATAAACGCGAATCAAAGTACTTGTACTTGTAGTAAGTAGTAAAGCGAACCAAGCACGAGCAGAGCTTGAGAACAGTGTGTGAGGATAAAAAAACATGTACCCGAGACCCGAGATGGACGCTATGAGGAGTACTTCCGTCCGCTAATTGAGCGTGACTTTTAGCTCTTTCGTTGGACTACTGAGTCCTTAATATTTTTTTTATTTTTTATTTTTTTATCGAGTAGAGTAGTTTATTTAAAATGTTGATCTTGATACTCATTATTATTATTATTATTATTATTAATAATATTATTTTTTCAGGTTACTATCCCGTTTCCTTGTTTTAACTCCGTTCGGATCGTATTCATGACCGCCGAGAGTGGCACTCGACTAGCGAAACGCAGTCTGGGAATTATATCGTACTAGGCATCGTTGATTTCATGATTCTTTAACGCACACATCAGCACTTAATATTTGTGTGTAGGTACTTACGTGTATACACATCTGGATTTAAGTGTGCTGTACGGTGTAGAGTGTACTGTGTACGGGTAGTGCGAAAATCTGGCTGACCCGATTAGATTAATGTGTGTATGAGTGTCACACACGTACGGCGTTAATGTGTGCTAAGCTACTCACGTTAATGGGTGTCAATATATGTGTGGAGAGTGACAGACACGTTGTAATGCGAGGGACAGTATTTTCGGTGATTGAAATATTTATCATTATCTAAAATTTTAATACCAGTTAAGTTTTAACTCGAGAAAAGTCCCCCAACCTCGACGTCGTCCGGAGTGAGACACACCTGCGGCGCTCTGATGCATTGTCGGTGAGTTTTTTCACGTGTGCAGGTATATATAATATATATATATATATATAGCACAGACTGGCGTTTTCTTTACGTACTCTCGTGTATACCTCGCTCTCAGTTTCTCTCTCCCTCCTTTTCTCTCTTTATTTAACTTAACTCTTGCTCACGGTTTGGTGCGTGTACGTACAGTTTCCTCGTGCACCTTCGCTAGAGAGTGTCTCACCGAGGTTATAATCATAGTTCATAGTTTGATAGTCCCCATAGTAGCTAGCTCATAGTAATAGTAGTCGTGATTGTGATCGTGATTAATCCAACTACAAGAATAAAAGAGAGTGTGCTGTGGATAAGAGTAGATTGAGAATTAACTAAGGTACTATATTGTTAAGTTGTACAGATATAATACTTATACTAAGATTGTAAATAAGTAAGTAAGTTAATGCAATGTGTTTTAGTGTAAGTAAGTAAGTAAGTATGTAAGTGAAGTAAAGAGTGAGCGAGCGAAGTATAGCGCTAAAGAATGGCGATTGCTCGAGTTCCCTGATCGCTTAAGTGTGGATGCCTCGGAGCGTCTTTGCAAACTTGATTCCTATCCCTAAGAGAAGGATCCGAGCAGAAAACATACCGGCGTTATCCTGTCTCCTGTATTCATTCGTTTCGTACAGTTCATTCTATACGTCTGACTTACGTTTGCCAGTCACTTGGCAACTTAACAATGTAATAAGTATACGTGCAATTTGATTGAATACTAATATTCAATATCAATATAAATATAAATAATATTTGTTGGATACGAGAGTAAGAGTACTAGTGGTGTGACGGATACGGATAGAAAAAAAAAGTGTATAGTATACAATAAAATAAATAAAAAAAAAGTATTGTGTGAGATGAGATTACGCGTGTGTACCTTGACGATTTATTTCAGCGATAAAAAAAAATATCGCGATACTCGAGGCCGTGACTCTATTTTTTTTCGCCCTCCGTTGGCGTGCTAACTCTCTACTCTGGGACTTTGGTGGTCGCGCATGTGGTTTTTCTGCCTGATGATAGAGACTAAGCTGCTGAAGTTACGTTGTGTTGATATAATGTACTGAGTGTATATATCACTATAAATATATATATATATATATACATGTACGTCAGTGTATTTATGTATATTTTATTTGCAAAAGTGTGGGAGAGAGGGAGAGACGCATGGCATCGCGGTTATCGTTAAAAAAAGTGGGAGTGTCACGATGCATGTCGCGCGAAATACTCCGGATCTCTTTACTGATAGTATGACGCTCACTAAATTGATGAAGATAGTCAGCTTACTGATATACCCTTTTAAATTTATAGATAGTTATTATTTTTATAAAATATACTCTGAAATATTAATTTATGTTAAATATTATTTATAAAATAATATTAAATTGTTAAATATAAATAATTATTGTTGTTGTTGTTGTTATTAAATTTGTTATTGTTTTTGTGATTGCAGAATGTCTAGGTCTGAGTCATACACCATGAGCTCCGTCCGTAGTTAACGAGTGTGAGTATCTACGCTGTTAGTTTGTACTAAGATTAAAAATAAAAGAAGAAACTTGGTATATATTATTGAAATGGTGTCTTAATCGTCGAGTATCAATAACTAGGTGATTTAGATATCTAATGCTACAAAGGCTGTGAATAGAAGAAGACTAAATTTCCGTAATATTAGATTATTAGTTAATGCTGTTTTTGGAAGAGATGGGGACCCTGAATGACGGATAACAGAATGGGAAACTTCAAAGACCTATGCTCTACGCATTGATGGGTATATGCTTTTCCTGTAAAAGACCCTCTAGCAGTCGGCTGAATAATAAAATTTCTGAACACATATCGGCATCGGTAACACCCCTCCATGTTTGTCTGGAGGAACAAGGAAGACCAGAACTGGGCTCGAGTGACGCCGTGGCCAGCAGGGCACAGGTAATTTTATTGTAATTTATAATAATAATAATAATAATACTTGGTCATTTTAATTTTAATTATTATTATAATTGTATTAATTATAAATATTCATTGAATATAAACTAAACAATTATTTTATTGACAGGTTAAGGGTAGTGGAGATAATTTGGGTGAAACAATCAGTGAGTGTTCAGAGGTAGGATCGACTCCTGTTGAGCTGGAAGAGTGGACTCAGCCAAGCATGGCCAATACAATCAGTAATATGAAGATGACTAACCCTATCAAGGGGTTAGTGAGTAAACGTCGCAAGCGTTTTACTGAAGATGGCTTTGACCTTGATCTCACATGTATGTTGATTTTTTTTTTTTTTCTATTAAGTTTGCTAATAAATTTATTAATAATTAATAAAATAAAATATTTACAGATATACAGAATAACTTAATAGCAATGGGTTTTCCGGCTGAAAAACTCGAAGGAGTTTATAGAAATCACATCGATGATGTGGTTAAATTTTTAGAATCTAAACACAAAGATCATTACAAAATTTACAATCTCTGCAGAGAAAGATCTTATGATCCGAAAAAATTTAAAAATAGAGTCGCTGAGTTTCCGTTTGACGATCATAATCCGCCCAACATTGAACAAATAAAACCATTCTGTGAAGATGTCCACAACTGGCTGTCACAGGACAGCAAAAATATCGCTGCGGTACACTGCAAAGCTGGTAAAGGCAGAACTGGTGTAATGGTTGCCTGCTATTTACTTCACACACAGCAGTTTACAACAGCGTTGGAGGCTCTAAAATTTTATGGTTCGAAAAGGACGACTGATAGCAAAGGAGTTACGATACCCTCCCAGAGGAGGTATGTTGGCTACTATGCCTCACTTGTACAAAAAAATCTTATCTATCAACCAGTCACGCTTCTTTTACGGCAAATTATGCTCGATCCAGCTCCCATTTTTAATGGTAATCAAGGCTGTAAGTATCTGTCATATTTATTATTTTTATATTTTATCATTATTTTATTTACATAATTTTTTTATTTTCAGATTTGCATTTTGTGATATCGGAAGGTAATAAACGTATATTTAGTTCGGATACTGTTGAAGTTAAAAAAGGTTCCGCTTCAATTTGTATTCCATTGAGTCATACTGTTTCAATAACAGGTGATATTCGAATAGAATTTTTTAATAAAAAACCTAAACCCAAAAGAAAAGTAAGTTTTTAAATTATTTTTTATTTTAATAATTATATTTTTTATTAATTTAATTATTAATAATTGTGTATTGCAGGAAAAATTATTTCATTTTTGGTTTAACACATTCTTCGTACGAGACAGTCCATCGTCAAATAACGATAGCGAAGAGATGCGATTTGAACGATCCGCAAGAGCATTGAGTTGTGATGGAACAACGATGGAATTTCCAGCGATGGTTAATACTAACTCAAAGCCAAGAACCAGCTCTCTGGCAAGTCTCGGTCCAATGCCACCGACTCTGGTTCTTGAAATTGATAAGTGGGGCTTGGATGATGCACATAAAGACAAAAGTCATAAAATATTCGCTTCTGATTTCAAGGTATTTTTTAATATCAATAAAATACAAATAAAAATATTTATCCAAATCAAATTATCCGATTTTATTTTTGTTAATTCAAGTAATGAATCTTAAACAAAATAATTTGCTAAAATTAATAGAGTTTTAATTAAAAACAAAACAAAAGTTTTTATGAAATTGGATAAACTAAAAATAAAAAAAAAAATACCTCGCTGATACTTAATGCTTTATTAGCATTTTTACAGTCTATATAATCACATTTCTTGATAAAATTGATACTTTCGTTAAGTCTAATAATGTTTTTTATCAATCCTTGGATACCGAGATAAGATTAAGAAAAAAACTTTTAATAAAATAAGTAAAAGTAAAATTTTTAACAATTAATATTTTTGTTCAGGTGAATTTAATAATGAACCAACCATGGGATGGACCCGGCAGTGGAATACCGCAAGCAGTGCCAGCAATAACTCCCAGGACTGACGTACAAGAAAGTCCAAGCGATTCGAGTGACACAGAAAGCAGCGAGTGCGAAACAACTGGCGACGAGGATGGATGGGAATCAGGTGAGTCTTCAGTATTTCTGATGGCGAAAACTCAGACGCTTAAGCACAGTATTAGTTGTACAACACATGACCGGAATCATCAACATCACCTTCATAATAATCAACAACAAGAACAACAACAACAACCACCACCTCCACCACCACCACCACCACCACCACCACCACCACCATCACAGCGACACAATAGTGATTTTAAACCATGTATTGAGGGTTCTATTTCACGTGTACAAAATGATTTAAACGTTCAGACTAATTCTATTGCTAAAAGATTGTCTGCATTTGCGCGAACATCCCGATCGACAGCTTTTTTTTTTGATAACTAAGAACACATGGCATTTTTTTTATTTTTTTTTTTTTTTTTTTCACTTTATTTATTTATTACTTTTCTTTTTTCGTTATACTACTTTCACAATTGCATCTTGGTATTTATTTATTTATTTATTTATTTGTTTTTTAAATCCAGGATATCAAAATGGAATTTAGTTTTTGCTCATACGGAAGCATATAATTCACCTTTAAAAATTTGCACGCTATCCCTCTATGTACTTCTCACAAAAAAAAATTATTAATAATAATATTATTATTATTATTATTATTATTATTATTATTATCATTAAAAAATTTTTTCTCAATAATTATAGATATAATGTTTTAAGAAACAATAAAATACGCGATCATTTAGTAGATAATATTTAATAACGATCAAATAGATATTAGAAAAGTGTCATCGTGTGAATATATATCCGTAACGTCTTGTTGTTTTTATTATTTTTATTTATTTATTTTTTTAAATTAAAATTATCATTACGTACATTAATAACTATTAATAAATAATAAAATAACAATAATTAATAGATAGTTGAATGTCTTTATTTACCGTAGCGCCAGGAAGAATTAATTTGGATGGACCATGAATGTGTGAGAGTTTCGTACGAGTACACACGAGACGAGAGATATTTTGCCAGAAGAAAAAAACATCGATCGAATTTAATAAACAATTATCGGTTATAGTTATTATTATTATTATGCGAAAAAAAAAAATATATAATAACTTTTTTTTGATAGTCTTTTTTGTATAATTTAATTAGTTAATTTTTTTTTTTCTTTTTTTAATCTGTACATTATAAAATTTGTTAAGTGTAAAGTCTTTCTATGTATGAGTAGGCATGCTTTATAAATTTTTAAATAGCGAGGACACGTGCTCCTAATTATAACCGTATATATAATAATATAAATTTATCAAAGTTAAAATAATACATTAAATGTTAGAAATTTACAAATTAAAATTTATATTTAAAGGATTGTATTTGTAAATTTATTCCAATGTGATAATACTGTTATATATAGAAACATATATTCATATATTTACATATTTGTAGATATATAAATGTATACATATACGTATTTTATAGTAATAAAATTATTGCTATTGATAATTAACTTAATATTAGAAATTTTTTTACGCATTTTTTTTTTTTTTTTTTTTTTTTTTTTTTTATTGTAATTGTCAGTAACGCACGTCGGAAATGTTTGAGTCTTAAATATTAATTGATTGATTGATTGTATTTAATATACATATATAAATACTTATGTTTATATATATATGTTTTTTTTTCCCTTGGTATTTTGTTGTTTATTTATGGCATGTAATATTCACTGCATGATTACGCGTTACACACATTGTATAACGACACACAGCGAACACGTAATTAAAAGTAATGGATTATTTAATGAAAGATAAATAATAATAAATATTTAATTATAATTATAAAATCTGTGTGTGTCTTCTCATCCAGTGGACATGGATCAACGTGTTGGCCGGTATCGTCTATTATCTGATGGAGGAATAATTGATGTTTTGTGAGCCCGTAACAACTTGATGCTCTATATTATCAACTCTATTCATCCCTCCAACCTTGAAATATCATGCAATAATTGTAATACATCAAAGAATTGAAATTTAATTTAAAAAATAGATTATTATATTTATAATAAAAATAGTTTAAATTCGTCGTATTACGCCCAACGATTTTCTCTCCTATTAAATTATTTATTATTTATTTTAATTGTCTATTAATTTTTGAATATTAAATTACATTCGTAATAATTATTAATTAATTAATTAATTTAGTAAATTATTGTAAATTTTTTTATTATTAAAATTTTTAATGTAAATATTGGAGAGAATAAATATGACAGGATGAGAATTTCGGTTATAAATATTAAAAATATTTACTGATATACGACGATAAAATTAACGGTATAAATATATTATATATATAAATATATAAAATAGTAAGACTATTTTCATAAGCGACAAATTATAAGTCAATAATTGTGCGTAGAAAATAAAATTGCGAGCGTACGTGAGAGTGCCTATTAACAGTGAGAGAGAGTAAATGTATGATTATTGTATGTTAAGTTTGTTTGTATGTGTATGTATTGTAAAATTAAAATTTATTAATATAAATAATTATTAAAAAGTATTTTCAAATTTTTAAAAATAATAAATAAATTTTAAAATACTTTTTATTTAATTAAATGTCGATCAACGTATCTGTATGAGTGGAATATTAACTAATTATAATTTAATATTTATAAAATATCAACGTAAGATAGCAGTATTTTGACAAACAATTTTTTATTTATATTAATTAAATAATTTCTCAATGATTAATCCTTATATTTATATTTAATATTCAATATAAAAGATCATTAAATAAATAAATAAATTAATTAATTAAAGTGTCTGTTGGAATACTGCTGTCGAAAGTCGTTAAATTTTCACCAGTTGCGTTTGTCAATAATATAATTCAATTAATTATTGTGATTTAGTGAAAATTAAACGGTGCAAATAAAAATATTAGATTATTTAAATAAATTTATTTATTTGTATTTATATTTTGCACCATAATTAGCATTTTTATTGTAATAGTGCGGTCCTATTCATAAAAAATGCTATTATAATTATAATATTAATAATAATAATTTTTTAAGTCGAAATTAATTTATTAAGCAACTGTTGAAATATTTAATTGGCTCGTATTTGTATGATTTAATGAAATGAGTAATAATTAATTAATTAATTAAAACAAATGTTATTTTGCGGTGTGCGAGGCTATATATTATTGTACATTCGCGTACGTACCTTCCTGGCATTTCGTAATGATAAACGGATGCAAGATAATAGTAGAAAAATATATAAATGTTTAATCAAAAAAAATAATATTAATAATAATTACAACAAATAAAATAAGTAAGAAAAATAATTCTATACAATTGTGAGATGAATCTCGAATAAAACATTCTTAAGTGGATATATATATATATATATATATATATATATATATATATATATATATATATATATA